TAAGGAGGTCAGTGGGCACTATCTCACGGGTTAAGGGGTATCAGGGGGTATCACTTTACCCTTATGCCGCCACCTTGGGACACCTCAACACCCTCCCTCCATCCATCCCTCCCTCCTGGGATTAAGTTCTCGCTCTTACGATAACAGGATAGCGTCGTGGTGACCGTAAGCTGCGTGGAAAATTTATCATCCTTCACCCAAATATTTGTTATTCTATAGACACAGTAACATCCACCTTGTTCTTCAGTTATTGTTATTTATCGTTATTGTGGGACTCTGGGTAATCACATTCTTATTGTTTGTTTACATTATTCCTACGTGTTAAGATGGTTGGTTTAGGTTGGTTAGGTTAGGTTTGTTGAGGTTAGGTTGGTTAGGTTAGGTTGGTTGAGGTTCGTGGTTCATGAATATTCCTCCTGAACCAAGAACCGGCCCACCTAGCACCTGCAGCAGCCAGCCCTTTCCTCCTCCTCCTCCTCCTCCCTCCTCCTCCTCCTCCTCCTCCCCTCCTCCTCCTCCTCCCTCCTCCTCCTCCTCCTCCTCCTCCTCCTCCTCTTCTTCTACCTCCCCCCTCCCTGTGTGGTCGATCGCCTCACATCCAAACGCATAAATCTGTACTCCACCCCTCCCCACCCCTCATCCACCCCCACCACCTCATCCATTTCCCCTCCACCCCGCCCCCCGCCCTCCCACAGTCCTTCCCCCTCCACCCCTCAAACATTACACCGCCTCTGATATACTAAAATGAAACAATTAAATACCTTTGAAGTGTAGAATAATTCTTGGGTAGCCAGGCGGAATAGAGGAGGAGAGGGAGGGAGAGATGGAGAAGAGGAGGAGAGATGGAAGAGAGAGAAGAGGATGAGAGAGGGAGGAGGAGGTCTTCTTCGCGTGTGGTGACTCAGCTATCTCACGTTAATAGCTCTACCTGTACATATAGAACTGACTGTGCATTATCTATACTGCTAGAGACGATCATATGAGGGAGAGCCTTGTGGTCAACAGCGCCATTGGGTCGGAAATTTTTTTTGCATTGCTTATAGAAACTCTTAAATCAATGTTGTTGTTGTTGTCATTAACTGAAAAAAAAATGTGTTTTGTGTAATATTTTAATGTGTGAATGTTCATTTATGGTGCTGGGTAGATCTGAGAGAGAGTACACACTCTTTTTCAAAACGCTGCAGAGTACTTTTGTCAATGCGGCATCGGGAAGGGGGTATGGTGGGAAGGGGAGAAGTGAGGGGAGGGGAAGGGAGGGAGGGGGGTATGGAGGTGAAGGGGAGGGAACCAGAAGGAAGGAGAATGGATAAAGAAACAATAGAGAGGAAGAGAAAGTCACCAACACAGGTTTAAGGGAGCCTGAGGTGTTGTTCTGGCTCACCACATTGTTTAGCTTCTACCTCGGCTCTTGTACTCGGCTCTTGTACTCGGCTCTTGTACTCGGCTCATGTACTCGGCTCTTGTACTCGGCTCATGTACTCGGCTCTTGTACTCGGCTCTTGTACTCGGCTCTTATACTAGCCTCATGAACTTGGCTCTTGTACTCGGCTCTTATACTGGGCTCATGTACTCGGCTCTTGTACTCGGCTCTTATACTCGTCTCTTATAGTAGCCTCATGTACTTGGCTCTTGTACTCGGCTCTTATACTGGGCTCATGTACTTGGCTCTTGTACTCGGCTTTTATAGGTGGCGGTTATACTCGGCTGGACGCTATATATCTCAGCTTAATGTTATCTCTCGTTCTCTCAGCTCTTCTCTCAGCTCTCCTTCTCTCAGCTTCCCTCACCTACACCTGGAGTAAGTGGCGTAAAGTACCTACTAAGCTACTTCATATTATGTGTGTCACGTGTTAAGGAAAATACCAAAAGTGATTCCCAAGTGAGTTTAGTGCGTAGGGGTAGAGAAGGTGTTTTGTATCCTCCAGTGGATGTTAACGTGAATACTTTGGTCAGTGGAAACAAAGATGGTGTTCTTGACTGACCTACAAGACCTTGGGTGCTGGGTGAGTGTGAACATAACGCTAGACTACAAGACCTTGGGTACTGGGTGACTGTGAACATAACGCTAGACTACAAGACCTTGGGTGCTGGGTGACTGTGAACATAACGCTAGACTACAAGACCTGGGGTGCTGGGTGACTGTGAACATAACGTTAGACTACAAGACCTGGGGTGCTGGGTGACTGTGAACATAACGCTAGACCACAAGACCTGTGGTGCTGGGTGACTGTGAACATAACGCTAGACTACAAGACCTTGGGTGCTGGGTGACTGTGAACATAATGCTAGGCTACAAGACCTGGGGTGCTGGGTGACTGTGAACATAACGTTGGACTACAAGACCTTGGAGGAACTAAAAAAAGACATCATGTTTCTTACCATTATGTGTTGGTGTGCCAGGACCCAGCGGGCTTTGACGTCCTTCCTGATTCCTTCCTTTTGTCCGGCTAATAACAGTACCCAGACGAATGGTTTGTCCTTTTTATTATTCCTGTGGGTCGGTCAGGGGTAGGAAGAGGCGGGTAGGAGGGTTAGGGGCAAGAAAGGACTGGTAGGTGGATTAGGGGCAAGAAGTAGGGCCAGGGGTAGGAAGAGGCAGCTGGTAGGAGGGTCGGGCAGGAAGAGGCGGCGGGTAGGAAGGATCAGGGGGCAAGAAGAGGCGGGTAGGAGGATCAGGAGCAACAAGAGGAGACGGGGTAGGAGAGCCAGTTACATTCTCAAGAGTCCAGTAAGATGGGTGGTGGCGGCAGAGGAGTGGTTAAAGAAAGTCGCAATTGTGAATTTCAGGCACACTGGTTATAAACGAGTACGTTGGTTCAAAGACCACCACGACAGTAACGACACACTGTAAATCGTTGTGTGTTGTGGTGCAGAGAGAACTATAGGCGACACCCACCATGAATTTCTGTTTATTGGATATAATTCACGCGCTCTCAACCTCCCGGGTCAGGCTAGAGACACGACATGAAGAAAGAAATACTGTGATGTACGATTCAGTTTTTTTTTCTCTTCCTTCCTATCCGAGTGTTGTGATGACGTCATAGTATTCATGGGATTGTAGAAAATGGGAAATATGACGTCATAGTATTCATGGGATTGTAGAAAATGGGAAATATGACGTCATAGTATTGGATGAATGGTAGAAAATGGGAACTATGACGTCATGTTATTCAAGGGATGATAGAAAACGGGAAATATATCAAACCTCGTTACTAAAACGTAATTAAACAAATAAACAACGAAAAGAAACAAGTAAAAAACAAGAAAATACCACAAATACACAATAACCAAATAAAAGAGAAAGAAAACGAAAGGAACTGACAAGATAAACTAAAGAAAATAACAAATTACTTAAAGTTGACGCAATGTTTTGATTCATTACTGCGTCTCATAAACTTGTGTCTCTTAAGTGCCTGGCTGTAACTCCTGTCTCACACACAGGAGGAGGATAGGAGGAGTGTAAGACCTTGTAGGTGTAGTAGACTGTAGGAGTAGTAGACTGTAGGAGTAGTAGACTGTGGGAGTAGTAGACTGTAGGAGTAGTAGACTGTAGGAGTAGTAGACTGTAGGAGTAGTAGACTGTAGGAGTAGTAGACTGTAGGAGTAGTAGACTGTAGGAGTAGTAGACTGTAGGAGTAGTAGACTGTAGGAGTAGTAGACTGTAGGAGTAGTAGACTGTGGGAGTAGTGAACTGTAGGAGTAGTAGACTGTGGGAGTAGTAGACTGTGGGAGTAGTAGACTGTAGGAGTAGTAGACTGGCAGGAGTAGTAGACTGTGGGAGTAGTAGACTGTGGGAGTAGTAGACTGTAGGGAGTAGTAGACTGTGGGAGTAGTAGACCCTGTGGGAGTAGTAGACTGTGGGAGTAGTAGACTGTAGGAGTAGTAGACTGTAGGAGTAATGAACTGTGGGAGTAGTGGGCTATGGGAGGTAGTAGACTGTGGGAGTAGTAGACTGTAGGGTAGTAGACTGTAGGAGTAGTAGACTGTGGGGTAGTAGACTGTAGGAGTAGACTGTGGGAGTAGTAGACTGTGTGGGAGTAGTAGACTGTGAAGTGGTAGACTGTAGGGGTGTGGACTGTAGGAGTAGTAGACTGTGGGAGTAGTAGACTGTGGGAGTAGTAGACTGTAGGAGTAGTAGACTGTAGAAAGTAGTAGACTGTGGGGTATTAGACTGTAGGAGTAGTAGACTGTGGGAGTAGTGGGCTGTGGGAGTGGTAGACTGTGGGGTAGTAGACTGTGGGGGAGTGGTAGACTGTGGGAGTGAGTAGACTGTAGGAGTAGTAGACTGTAGGAGTAGTAGACTGTAGGAGTAGTAGACTGTAGGAGTAGTAGACTGTAGAAGTAGTAGACTGTAGACTGTAGAAGTAGTAGACTGTAGGAGTAGTAGACTGTAGGAGTAGTAGACTGTAGAAGTAGTAGACTGTAGGAGGAAGGAGAAGTAGACTGTAGACCAAGTAGAAGGAGTAGACTGTAGGTAGAAGGACTAGACTGTAAGTAGTAGTAGTAGACTGTAGGTAGAAGGACTAGACTGTAAGTAGAAGGAGTAGACTGTAGGTAGAAGGAGTAGACTGTAAGTAGAAGGAGTAGACTGTAGGTAGAAGGACTAGACTGTAAGTAGAAGGAGTAGACTGTAGGTAGAAGGAGTAGACTGTAGGTAGAAGGACTAGACTGTAAGTAGAAGTAGTAGACTGTAGGTAGAAGGAGTAGACTGTAGACCAAAATCCATAATTAGAGAGATCATAAATGGCCTGGAAATGTGTTAAGGAAGTGTCGTATCCTCCCTGAAGGAAACTTAAAGCGAATAATCAGGAGGGAGTGTGGGAAGCCTGTAGGACCCCAGAAGAAGGTCCCAATTTAGTGTCTTTTGGGGGTCCTGGATAGTGTCTTTGAGGGTCCCTGGATAGTGTCTTTGAGGGGTCCTTGGATAGTGTCTTTTGGGTCCCTGGATAGTGTCTTTGGGGTCATGGATAGTGTCTTTTGGGGTCCTTGGATAATGTCTCTTAGGGTCCCTGGATAGTGTCTTTGGGGGTCCCTGGATAGGTGTCTTTAGGGTCCCTGGATAGTGTCTTTAGGGGTCCCTGGATAGTGTCTTTGGGGGTCCCTGGATAGTGTCTTTGGGGTCCCTGGATAGTGTCTTTTGGGGGTCCTTGGATAGTGTCTTTGGGGTCCCTGGATAGTGTCTTTGAGGGTCCCTGGATAGTGTCTTTTGAGGTCCCTAGAGTGTGTGTATGTTTGTGTGTGTGTGTGTATGTTTGTGTGTGTACGTATGTATGTATGTGTGTGTGTGTGTGTACCATACCCCTATAGGAAAAGGATAATACGTGTCCTTTTACCCTTGCCACTGCCACCAATTACCCCCAGACGGATAATAACCAGAACGAGTTACTTCCTGCTGCTTCGGTAATTGTCCACCCAGGCAACAGATGGCGCTCAACACGTTACTTACATTTGAATAGGAGTTTCTCTTCTTTTCTATATTTTTTTTTTTGTTTTGCTTACGGGATAATGAGGTATTTTTTTTAATTAACTTGGTGGTGGAAGAGAGCTGTGAGAGTCATAATGATTACCCTGTATTTTAGTTCATTCCTTCAATGATGTCAGTCATCTCGTGTCTTGGTTAGCTTAGCATCCACTTACCCCTGACCCCTCACCGCCCACCCTTCCATCACCTCCTCCTTCCCTCTTCCCCTCTCCTTTCCCCTCCTCCTCTCCCCTCTCCTTCCTTCTCCCCCCTCCTCTTCCCCTCCCAAACACAAGACGTAGGTATGGAAGACATCCGGTCCTGGAAACTTAATTAAACGTCACATGAAAAAATAATAATAATAATAATAATAAATAAAAATATAAATAAATACAAAAAATAAACAACGAAACTGCGATTATCTATGTCTAATAAAAGCAAAGAAATATGCAACTTATCCTCATTATCTGTACTTTTATACGTATGCAAATGAGGTCCTTTTAAAAGTATACTCTAAATGCTTTTAATTGTTTGATATAATTTGTTAAAAGATTTTGTTTATTTTTTTTCCAGGTGAGTTGTGTTGTTGAGAGTAATGAAGAGTGAGAAGTTACCTGGTGAGAAGCCTTAATTGATGTGAGTACCACCTGAACACACATGATGATGATGATGATATGACGATTATATGATGAAAAGATGATGATGATGATGATGATGATATGATGGTAATAATAATAATAATGTCATGGTAATAGGATAATAATAATAATGATAATAATAACAACAACAATAACAACATTATACTACTACTACTACTACTACTACTACTACTACTACTACTACTACTACTATCATTTTCTCGGCGACTAAAGAGTGTGTGTGTGTGTGTGTGTGTGTGTGTGTGTGTGTGTGTGTGTGTGTGTGTGTGTGTGTGTGTGTGTGTGTGTGTGTGTGTGTCCATGGTAAACTCTTGAGTACGATTTAAGTACAATGACCTAACATCCTTGAGTACAGTCTTCGTACTCAGAGTGACTCGGGAGAGGAGGAGGAATGGATAAGAGAGGAAGGGGGAGGTAAGATTGACAAGATTGGGGAATAAGTAAGAGGAGGAGGAGGAGGCGAAGAAGAAGAAGAAGAAGAAGAAGAAGACCGAGAAAAAAAAATAAAAAGAGGAATAGGAAAGACAAGAGAATTAAGCAAACCTAAGAAGGAAAGACGAGACAAAGAGGGAGAGGGGAGGAGGAAGGGGAGGGTTTAGTCTTGAGTTCCTTAGCGCTAATAAAGACCTTCTTAGTCCCTTTAATCAAGTCTTTTGTTTATCTAAGACCCATAAAACAAGGTAGTCGACGTGTCCCCTGCTGTGCGTTGCTTATTAACCTAACTTAAACACTGATTCATGGGTCACCTTCGTCTTGCCTGAGTCTGTTTTATGTTTCTTTATATCCTGTTAAATGGCGGGAAATATACGTGGCGGTGTTTGTTTATTTCCTGTTAAATGGCGGGAAATATGCGTGGCGGTGTTTGTTTATTTCCTGTTAAATGGCGGGAAATACGCGTGGTGGTGTTTGTTTATATCCTGTTAAATGGCGGGAAATATGCGTGGCCGTGTTTGTTTATTTCCTGTTAAATGGCGGGAAATATGCGTGGCGGTGTTTGTTTATTTCCTGTTAAATGGCGGGAAATATGCGTGGCGGTGTTTGTTTATTTCCTGTTAAATGGCGGGAAATATGCGTGGCCGTGTTTGTTTATTTCCTGTTAAATGGCGGGAAATATGCGTGGCGGTGTTTGTTTATATCCTGTTAAATGGCGGGAAATTTTGGCGGGAAAAGTCCGGTGTATCAGACTGGAAAATGAACGAGTTTCTTTTGTTTATTCATATTGACTATTAATGTTTGCTATCACATTTATTATTTATAAAAACAAAAGCCGCTGCATAATAAACCTTAACTCCTATTAGTGCATAAATAAAAGAATACTTGGTATTTCCTACGGATATTTTTGGAACGACTAATGAACATGCTAAAGACATTCAGTAATAGACTAAAATATTCAAATGTAATCAACTTATAATTACGTTAAAGGTAATCTCTCTCTCTCTCTCTCTCTCTCTCTCTCTCTCTCTCTCTCTCTCTCTCTCTCGGTAACATAAACAGATAAATTACTTTTATCTTAAGAATTCAATTTGTTTCCCCTGGATGAGTCGTCACGCCCACCACCTTAGGTACCCGGCCAGCCTCATTACACCACGTGCTGACCCTGCTGCGGTGGGCGTGAGGAGGGGGGGGGCGGTGGAGGAAGGCCGCTGAAGGGGGGGAAGGGGGTGTGGGGGAAGTTTGGAAGAGGTGATGAGAGGGATGTGTGGAGAGGTGCCGGAAAAGAGTGGGCCTTATGGAGAGGGAGAGAGAGAACATAAAAGAAAGAACGTGAAGAGAAGAGAACGTGAGAAAGAGAGGAATGGAAGAGGGAGGGGAGAGGAGAGGGAAGGGTGGTGACCTGTAATAAATGGAGGGAGGGGAGGGGGGCGTGACCTCTGTGGTACCTCAACACTGACCTCTCCACCTCCCACAGACCACCTACCTGGAGGTATTACACTCACACCTGGAGGTACCTCGACACTGGCTTGACCTCTTCCACCTCACCCTTTCCCTCTCTCTCAGCATCCCCTCTCCTCCCTCTCCTCCTCTCCCCACCTCCCCTAAATCCTTATCCTTCTCCCCAGCACCCCACCACTCTCCCCAGCCCCTGCCTCTCCCCTGACACCCCCATCTCCCCAACCCCCCCTGCCACTCTCCCCAGCACCCCCACCACTCTCCCCAACACCCCTACCACTCTCCCCAACACCCCCCACACTATCCCCATCACCCCCACCACTCTCCCCAACACCCCACCCACTGTCCCCAACACCCCCCACTCTCCCAACACCCCCCACCACTCCCCATCACCCCCACCACTCTCCCCATCACCCCTCACCCACTCTCCCCAACACCCCCATCACTCTCCCCAACACCCCATCACTCTCCCAACACCCCAACCACTCTCCCCAACACCCCCACCACTCCCAACACCCCCACCACTCTCCCCAACACCTCCTCCTCTCTCCCCAACACCCCTCCTGCTCTCCCCAACACCCTCCTACTCTCCCCAACACCCCACCACTCTCCCATCACCCCCACCACTCTCCTCAACACCCTCCCCACCACTCTTCCCATCACCCCCACCACTCTCTCCTCTCCCCAACACCCTCCCACCACTCTCCCCAACACCCTCCCCACCACTCTCTTCAACACCCTCCCCACCACTCTCCCCAACTCCCCACCACTCTCCCCAACACCCTCCCACCACTCTCCCAGCACCCTCCCACCACTCTCCTCAACACCCTCCCACCACTCTCCTCAACACCCTCCCACCACTCTCCCCAACACCCTCCACCACTCCCCAACACCCTCCCACCACTCTCTCAACACCCTCCCCACCACTCTCCCCAACACCCTCCCACCACTCTCCCAACACCCTCCCACCACTCTCCCAACCTCCCCACCACTCACCCCATCACCCCACCACTCTCCCCAACACCCCACACCACTCTCCCCAACACCCCACACCACTCTCCCCAACACTCCCCCCTCTCCCCCACACCCCCACCACTCTCCCCAACACTCTCCCCACCACCCCCCCACCACTCTCCCCAACACCCCTACCACTCTCCCCAACACCCCTACCACTCTCCCCAACACCCTCCCACCACTCTCCTCAACACCCTCCCACCACTCTCCCCAACACCCCACCACTCTCCCCAACACCCTCCCCACCACTCTCCCCAACACCCTCCCACCACTCTCCCCCAACACCCCCACACATAAACTTCTCCTTTACTTCTCCCCGTTGTCGTCTCACACCATCTTTCTTGCGTCCTCCTTGTCAGCTGTTATCTGCCTTCTCTCGTGTCCTTCCCCCTCCTCCTTCTTTATTACATCTTCGTCTCTTCCTTTTCGTCTGACTTTTAACACCATCGTTATCATCTTTTTTGCCTCTTATATTTTCTAAGTTAAATTAATCCCCGTGGCCTTATTCCTCTTTTATTAAGTCTCTCTCACAGTAGGGAAGAATACTCTATAGAAAAGCCTGATTTATCTCACCTTGACCTCTTACCTCTATAACACAAGGGTCATAGGTCAATCTGGGGGAGGGGTGATGGTATGATGTGTCCCCCCCGATCCCCTCAACAGTGTGTACTTTACATCTTTGCTTGTTTGTTTACCATAAATTGAGACCTTTAACTCTTCTCTTATCTCTATTTCTCTATTTCTTCCTCTTGTGTTATCTCTTTTCTACTTATTTTATCATATTTATCCATTATTCAGATTATCCCTTTATATCCACTATTGACCTCTCGTGTGTGATCTAATTCCTCTGTTTATTCACTATTCCATCTATAATTATCGCTTAGTTCTCTCTTAATCAATCTATTATTCTCATTTATTTATTTATCTTATAATTATCATCCCTGTGTCATCCACCTCACGTTATCATGCGAGAAATTATATGGTTTATTTCCCGCCAAATCTCTTTTAAGATTTGAGAACAAGTTTGTCATAAAAGTCTGATTTATTATGGCGATTATACCAACTTTGTGATCCTGTATTAGTTCCTTGTTCCAGGTGTGTTGGAGTTTATTATACCTGCTGTGTGAACAAAGTGAACAACGTCA